ATACCTTGATTGGAGCCATATTACTTGTTGACTTTGAGAATGCACGCACAAAATTCCTTGATAATTGTGGAATGACAACGGAACAGATACGCGTCTGCATTTTAAAGCTCTGTGATAGTATGGAAAGCGCCATTTTGTTTGTTTACATTTGAAAACAGCTGAGATCACCTGATTTTCAATTCTCTCATTCTCCTCACAGAGTTACATTCAAGTTTCAGAAAAAACTTTAAAATGTAAATTGAGAAATGTTTTAGAAAAATGTGTTTTTATTCATTTGAATTCAATAAAAAAGAAATTAAAAATGCGTGCCAAGTCTTGCATTTACAATAATAACGATAAATGTGTATGTTCCAGGCAATAATTCAAAATATTTGTGAAACTTATCGTTTTGCGCTAAAATACAACAATGTGTGTAAAATTCGTTGTCATTGCTTCTATTTTGAATATCATATTCGTGCCTGCCGTTGGAAAAAATAGGTAAATTTGTATTTATTTTCAAGAAAACATATCAGTTAAAATATATTTCTTTCCAGAGCGACATACGGACAAGTAAGATGATAAATTTGTATGATGAATATCGCGGAAAAACTTTTGTATCAAAATTTCTATTCTAATTTGCATTTGAATTATGATATCAACAGGGATGATTTGTGACGTATTTTTTGAAGACAATTTTCTTATAAATCTTGAGATTGTCGATTTATTTTAGAATTAAAAAAGGTAGTTTGTATTAAAAAATATATTTACACTAGCAGTATGTAAATTACTTTTATTCCGAATTGAAACGATTTTAATGAATATTCATGGTTACCATTAATAGTAGTATGACAGTTAGATCTAAATGAATATTTGACAAGAAAGATAGAATACAAGATTGCGCCGTCCTGGCGGCGATGACATATCTGTACAAAAAGTAATAAAAGTCGAATTGGATGTTGAAAGAAAATGTGAGAACAGCAAACTTTCTTAATAATAAATTTTTCGATAAGGAACGTGTTTTGATTGTGCTAATTTGTAATAGCCTTATTCATAAACAATATAGTAACTTAAAAAGGCTTATAAATTGGAAAATGTTTGTAAACGGCAATTTAAAAAGCTTTTTAAAATTTTTATTTTTTATTAATAAGGCAATAAAAATATGTGATTTACAATAACTTTTAACAAAGGAAATACGAAATAAGGTGATTTTTGCGGAAGTGGGTATTAGTGAATTGCAGTGTACCTCTCTTAATCCTTCGATTCGTTGTCGCATTACTACCAAATTCAACTTGCTTCCATCACGAATATTTGGATAGGAAGAGACAGTGTTTTCATCATTTAAAGTACGGCCAAAGAGAAGCAACTTTTGTTCAGATAATGGAATCTGTAGTTTGTTCTCAATTTCGTTTTTTATTTCTAAAATTGTAGTTGCCGATTCCACCTGTAAGAAGCATAAACACATGATTTGAGAATATTGCCGAAATATTTAACACACCTCCAATGTGAAATCCTGCCCTTTTAAAACTTTTATTGTTATTTGCATGACTTTAGTTATTCTTTTATTTCTGTATCCCTTTGGAATTAAATGCTATGTAAATTTTACACGAATCAGAATACAGCAAAGTTAAACAAAACACTATAAACATCTGATAGTAGTGATTTGCTGAATTGTCGGTACCCAACACTTGAAGAAAATTTCGGTACCCAATACTTTCTTCTTGGTACCCGATACCGATTCGATACATTAAACCTTCGTCATAATCTATACACTAGTGGTCAGCTAATTAAGTTTAGTGACATTTGGACTAGTTTTTACTATTTTTTCTTTTGTTAATATATCACGTACGATATGCGGTCAAAAAGCGCAGTTAGTCAACGAGAAGCAACGGCAACGTCACCGCCATGCGGTGGTGAGTTTTCGTTAACACGCGAATCCCATAAGATAGATCGTGTTTGTGTCAACCTACGTCTACGCTACGTCGTTGACTGTTTGAGCTTTAAGAGTGTGATTTCCAGAGCCGCCACAACTGAGCGGTTGGAAAGGACTAGTTTCCAAGCCGCTTCTTATAAATTTCTCTATCGGCAGGCAATCTGAATGGACGAAATCCAGAGTCGCGCTATTTGATCGGACGGAAAGGACTAGTTTCCAAGCCGCTTCTTATAAATTTCTCTATCGGCAGGCAATCTGAATGGACGAAATCCAGAGTCGCGCTATTTGATCGGACGGAAAGGACTAGTTTCCAAGCCGCTTCTTATAAATTTCTCTATCGGCAGGCAATCTGAATGGACGAAATCCAGAGTCGCGCTATTTGATCGGACGGAAAGGACTAGTTTCCATGCCGACCTTCTTATTTCATACATTATGGGTGATCTGAATGGACTAAATCCAGAGTCATCCAGCTAGTACGGATGGAAAGGACTAGTTTCCATGCCGGACCTTTCTATCTGATAGCCAATGTTCTACAGTGATCAAGTAGCAGCCTTTTGAAGGTACCAACGTTGTCACAATTTTGTATTTGAGCTGGAAGTTCATTATAACATTTTAATCAAGACTTTGCGTGTCTGAAAGGGGTCTTTTAACCCAGAAAAGGTGGGGAACGCAACTTTTGTTTATTTGATTGTTGTTGTTTTGTTCTGCTCGGCTCGTTTCTTGAACCAACGCTACAAGATCACCTATTCAAAGAAGCAAGAAAAAAGTTTATTTCTGAGCGTTTTTGACATCTGTCTGAGAATGAAAACAAACAAAGAAAACGAAAAAGGCGCGGTGGTTGAGTGCGATTATATTGGCATTTAACATAAAATATAATAAGCGCAACTGAATAAAAATGAGCTAAAGTTGTTCATAAAATATGGTTTTCGTGATAGAAAGTGTTTTGCAACCACGTGGCATAAGCACAGTTCGATTTTTCAATGCCAAAGCTCTAACCAAAAAAGTGCACCCAATTTCACGCAAATTTACGCCTCTTGGCAAACCAAGCCAACACACAAACTTGCTCCACTCCACTCCAGCAACACTCCCCAAAAACCCTTTGTGGAACTTGTATGCTGCTACAACAACAACAACCAACTTGCTTAAACCACAAAGCACTTCATTTTATATCATAAATTTTTAATGAATCAAAATGTATAATTAAAATCGCTGTATTCGCGAAGTTGAGTCAATTCGCTAATACGGTGTTCGCATGAGCCGATTTTAAAGGCAACTTTTAGTTGAAACAAAGAACGTAAATCTATAAGAAGAGAAAACACGTTATAATTGTAGCGAGTGTTAACATCAGGAGCGCGCTTTCTCTTTTGCCCAAATACGTTTTTTGATTGGATGAAAAGAGAAGGCACGATGCTGAGGTTCACACTCGCTACAATTATAACGTGTTGTCTCTTCTTATAGATTCACGTTCTTTGGTTGAAAGCAACAATCGGCTGGTGTGAACGGCCTTTCAACTAATTGCTTCCAATGAAATTGGGGCAGCCAACTTTTGATTCAACTAATCGCATCTAAAATTGCCTGGAAAATCGCCTCATGCGAACATCGTATAAAACTGAGATTCATACGCCATTTCAGGTGGCAGTTTTTTGTATGGCCATATTCAGAATCGTGTCGCGATTTCAGCTGAAATTGAGAATAGTGTCGAAATTGCTCAATTTGGGTGGCGTGGAAACGCGCTTTATTCAGCACATCTGGGTTGCCACATGAGATTTCTTTTTTCATTTTTAGTTCACAATCTTCAATGTCGTTGCCTTTTCCTTTTTCTTTTTATCGTCATCATCATCGGGCGGCCTGCCGCAGTCTTCGTTTCTTCAGCTATTCAGTCGTTATTTGGCTCTCTCATTTTAATTGCAACGTCGCGTGTGTAATTTTTATATTTCGCAAGTAATTTTTTTCCTTTTTAATTATTCTAACCAAAAACTTGTTGAGTTACGCAGTAAATTGTGCTCAAGTAGGTGGTCAAAAATATGTTAGCTAAACGCATATAATTGAATATAAATAATGGTATTTGGTGAAAATTATTTTCTCCACCTGCCACTTCCCTTTCGTGTCGTGATTATTCGGTTTTATCTTTTAGTGGAATTTTCAATATAGAAAAGTAATAAAGTGCATATTCAAACGATGCCGTGCTAATTTTATTTCACGTGTGTGCAAAAGTACATAGCACCAAGTGCCAAAAATAAAGAAAATTATTGTAATTTTACCAATGGAGTGAAGGCTTAATTAAAAATAATACATAATCGCGGTGCAGAACGGCCGCGTTAAGTGTGTGTGTGTGTATGTGTGTATGTGTGCAATTCGCGGCGACAGCAACAACAGCAGCGTTAACACAAGCAAATAGCAAAAACGCAAAGAAATTGTGACAACCCTAATCTGCTAAGAATTCCTCTCAGCGCTGAGTACCGATTGTAATTTATAAACTTGTATTGGGTATTTACTTTGCTCCACAAATATTCTATTGTGTACTTGATTAAAAAAATATATAATTTTAATGTTTTCAAATATTAATCGCGGCAAAGAAAGATTTAACAGACTCTTTCAACTGCTGGTGCGTATAATTTTCCCTATTCATGCATATATCACTAATAAATTGCTTGTTGGCTACATATTTGCTTAGTCTTTTCTTGGTTGCCCCTTCTCGTCGTTTTGCCTTGCATTTCCTTCTATTTTGTTTTCTCCACCTTTTCTGTTTTGTATGCATCGGCTTTTGGCGTTTGTGTTCGGCCGCTCTGCGTGTACACGATCGAAAACCGTCCTTTCTATCAGGCCGATTCTGAACAGAAACTCCCTGGGAGCAAAATGTATTCAACACACACACCTTGTTTAATACACCTTGCCTGGGTGTTTCTCTCTTTCCCCTTCCTCTTATCATTAATGAAAATTCCCTGATGATTTTTTGTATTAAATGGGCGGAGTTGAGGTGTGAAAAAAGTGTCAAACAGCTTTTTCAAAATTCGAATTCCCTCCCAAACTTTCGAGAAAATGCTACTCCCTGGGAATTAATTATTGGAGGATTTCTTTTTTGAGACAAACCAATTCCCGGAGAACGAACTCCCCGGGAGTATTAAGAATCATGGTACAATAAAAGACACGTAGAATCCAATTTGACGTCAAAACTACAAAAATCAAAGTTTTCGGGAGAGTAAAAATAAAAATGATCATTTGTTAGGAAAAATAAAGAAATTAAGTTTCACTACTTGCGTTTTTAAGTNCACGTCAAAACTACAAAAATCAAAGTTTTCGGGAGAGTAAAAATAAAAATGATCGTTTGTTAGGAAAAATAAAGAAATTAAGTTTCACTACTTGCGTTTTTAAGTAAATTTGTAGTTTATTTTGGGAAATGTTTAGTTAGGTTGTTCACAATAGTATATTTTTCACCGCTGAGAAGCTTTGTTGGGTACGGTTTAGTAAGTGGCCCACCTATTTCGGGGTATTGCGTCCAAAGGGGTGACCCGATCCAAAAAAAAATTGCACACACTTGTAGCCAAGGGTCTACCCATTACTTTAACATCCACTATTGTAATTTTTGGTCACTAATTTATTTACAAATTGGGTTTGAAATATGCCCTTTTTTGTAAAATTCGGAAAATAGCTCACATTTATCACTCCTATTTTCCTTAAAGCAGCCACTTCACTAATGCATTTTTATATTCCCCTTCACTTTAAACTTTATTCGACTTGTTACAACTTTCTTTATTACTTTAATTTTAATCTATCAATCACAATTTATTAAATAAAAACATCTTCAAAACCACGCGTTTGCCTTTGGTTGCATATGCACATTAAATGGTGGCGTTTAGCTGTCAAACTGCTAAATATACAAGAAGGATGA